CGTCGAGAGGATTAGCAAGGGGGGTTGTTGAGATTTTATCCCGGGTGACTCGTTTCATATTAGCTCTGCGAGCTCTGGTGGGTCGCTTCGCAAGAGCTTCAAGAACCTCATTGTCGGAGTCCAAATCGCCAGTGTCGGATTCGTCAGTGTCGGATGTCAATGCCTTGTAAATGTCCTCATCGTCCGGCAAGTCATCTTCACTATCACTCTCTACCTGAGTCGTATGATTCTCAAGACGAGAAGATCTTGTATCCTTGGAATTATTACTGGTAGATCGATTTGATTTCCTAGTTGGTTTCTTAGTTGGACTGTTGCACAATCCCAAGGCCTTCGACTTCTTGCCCCGTACAGCTCGCGATCCGGAGCTCTGCTTTGTACCTGACAGTGCTCTAGCACTGGAACGAGTCTTGAGTACCATTATGTGACTGGAGAGATGAATGAACGCTTGGAGATGAAGAATGAGGTTGAGGTTGAGGTTTGTCCAGAGGAGAATACCGTGATGATTCGAAATGGGTGTGGTAGTTAATAGCTCTCCTCACATGAATGACTTGGGGTTTCAATTGTCACATGAATGACATGATCTGAAATAGGGTTGGGACCTCACATTTTTGTGAAAATTTGTGAACTACATCTTAATTGAAGTAATGATGAATCTTAAGCTCACAAGTGTGAATGGGCTCTGGTTGTGAACTGGCAAGATAGTTCACAAAAGCTTGTGAACTTGTGATGTACCTTACAAATGAAAGTGAGCTGCTTCTAGTGTTCACAAGTTCACAATACCTCGCAAAGTTGTGATGTAGTCCACATAAGCTTGTGAACTTGTGAACTGGTGAAGCAGCTCACACTGTTTGTGAACTGCTTCACCAGTTCACAAAACCTCGCAAAGTTGTGATGTAGTTCACATAAGCTTGTGAACTTGTGAACTTGGATATGCAGTTCACACTGCTTGTGAACTAACTGCTTCACGAGTTCACAAAACCTCGCAAAGCTGTGATGTACTTCACATAAGCTTGTGAACTTGTGAACTTGTGATGCAGTTCACAAAAAGTGTGAACTGCATCACAAGTTCACAAAAAGTTAGAATGCCCTGATGCAGTTCACAAATTTTGTGAACTGGTAAAATGGTAATGCAGTTCACAAAAACTTGTGAACTTTAGTTCACACAAACTTGTCAACATGTGATGCAGTTCACAAATTTTGTGAACTGGTAAAATGGTAATGCAGTTCACAAAAACTTGTGAACTTTAGTTCACACAAACTTGTCAACATGTGATGCAGTTCACAAATTTTGTGAACTGCATCACATGTTCACAAAAACTCGGGAGGTTATGATGCAGTTCACAAATTTTGTGAACTTGTGAACTTGTGATGCAGTTCACAAATTTTGTGAACTGCATCACATGTAGTTCACAATTACCCGTGAAGTTGTGATGCACTTCACAATT